AGCGGACATATATTTGTTACAATTTAAAAATCAAATTAAAAAGAAAGCAATATTGCCCTACTAGGCCGCATATTCATTATGTCTATTAAAAAATTGTCTTAACGGTTTAAAACCACGTTTTAATGGTTTAGTTACTAATGGATTAACGTTTGGGATTTTTTATTTAAATGTATAAACTACAGGTAATTACTTACTTTATTATCTATTTTTAGTATTTGATAACGTCCTTAGGTGAATGTATGTTGTGTGCTCTATATTCATTGTGGAACTACCTATGAATCGTTTTGAAGATAATTACTTAATAGGTCGTAGGTATTCATGAAAATCTAAAAAACGTTGAACTGGAACCCAGTTCAACTTTTTGTAAAATACTTTGACGTATTTTTATATTTTTTTCATAAAATCACGAATTTTCTTCACAACGTCTTTACAACATTCTTTGATCACCCCAATAAGTTTTTATTTATAGTCATTTTCATGTTTACCGCCGTTATTACCGATCAAAGTGGAAAAAGTTATAAAATAATTTACTGCCAAACCGACTTAAGCTACGCCTTACTTTGAAGTTCTTTTATCGTAACTTAGGATACGTTCCTTTTAAGATAATATTTCTGAGGCCGAATGAAATTTACGAATATGAATATTTATTTAACTAAAAAAATATAGAGTTTTGCGGACTCTTTTTGATGTGTTATTAAGGCTTAAGCAGGTGTTTTGTATTGATTGTAGGAATATTTTTTATTCATTTACGAAAGCCTTTTTGCTATTTGTATTAATAATGAACGAACTTTTTTACCGAACATATAATGCTTACATCCTTAGTTTGTATACTCGACGACGTGACTGGCAATCTCGAGGATCAGGATTCGAATTCTAGGTGGGATGTCGGTCATCATCACAAACTTAAGGGTGGTTGTCGATAAAGAATGGCATCACGCACCAAAATAGCTTCGACCTACTACGCACTCTTCAGCTTTATAATGTTCGTATAGATTGAATACATGTCAATATCATAATAATAAACTATTCCTAGAAAAACATTCTTCTATACTGATTTCTATCAAAACTTTTATATCCCCAATCCACAAGGGTAGTGTATTCAAACTCGCGAGGATAAAAATCCTTTGAGTAAACACTTTGATGTTGGCCTGTCGGGCTCAACCGAATGCTATTATAATTGGATCCTTGAAAGACCAATTTAAAAATATTTATGGGGAAATATAATGTCGAAACATGAAATGATCTTCGTGGTTAGTTTAGCTACGTGTATTTCTAACGACTATTTTATTTCTCACTCTTGTATAACAGACCGTACTTTAGATAACTTTATTTTGATACAAGCTGTGTCAGCGACTTCGCGTAGAATAGCTATTATGTGCATCAAAATTTGTTTTTGCAAACCTCCTGTTCGATTTTTACGCTGCTACACATGACATCGTACGCATCCCTTCACTCTTGTCTTAAAAGATTATTTAAACAGAACTTTAACCGTGTTCGCAGCACACGCAACGCAAACCTACAAGGATCTCTTCATGTTTATATATTAGTATTGATATAACTTAAATGCTACCCATGTGATTAGAATCACATTCTGAAAGTTGCCCATTTATTGACTGTTCTGTCTGGTATCGTAGTAAACGACTTCCTGGGTTTGACTTTCGTGAATGTAATAGCTTTGGTCAACAGAAAGGTAATGAACTTTGCTAATACATAAATAAAAAGTGTAACAAAACAAGAACATACTTCTTAACTGATATTGTTTTATAAAATTTTAATAATTGAACGGAGTGGACTGAATATTATATTTGTAGACGCAGGAGGGCCTTTATTATATTCGTCCATTATTTTTAATGTGCCATCCATTGGAAAACAAGCACAGTTTTATTATAATGCATGTAACTTTAATGAACAGACTAAATTGCAGAAATGATCGAAAATCAATATGAATATCTTGTTATTATTAGTTGCAGAGCTCTAGTTTCTATAAGTATTTCTAATAAAAGGAAAGATGACAATAATACAAAGTGATTCGTCGCAGACTTGGTGCGCTGGTGCCGTCCCGAATCCGTGTGTCCTCAAGATGGCCGCCCCGCTACCATAGATACGACGCTCCGCTAGAGTGCCTGTCATTAATGTTGACATTGACAGCCACTCTTCTGTGACAGCGACGTTGATACGCCGTCATATTTATAAATGTATAAAATGATATAATTGTAACAATGTGGGGCTAATGATCAACGTGTTGTGGGTTCGATCCCCACTGGGTCCAACATGTTTCTAATCAATTTATAATTTTTCTGAAACATTTTAGACGTTGTCTGGAAATCTGGCTCATAAACCAACGTCCACAGATGAAAAAGCCGTGTAGTTTTACCGCGTTTTGGTTCCAGTACTGTACACTTCCAAATACCCAAAGCAAAAAAGACCCTTTGGCATCATTTTTAATCAAAATTTTAAATGTAATCTTGTCGTAGTATTATTATTTTACTTTTATTATTACTTTTTTTGTCATCACATTTATTTTTACTACGTCTAATTATTGTACAAAATGAATGCTAAATAAAGAGATTTATTATTATTATTACTATTATTATTTAAATTGGTCGATCAAGCTTAAATAAGCTAAAATATTATCTAGCTGTGATATTTCACCTACCATCACGATAACCCCACGCTTGTTTGTCCCCCTTTATCATTAAACATACTTCTGTAAACGTTTTCAGGATATTGTAATTAACCATTTGTTAGGTGGGGAATACAAACAACTATGAAATCGACAAATTTATACTTTAATTATATTTTTCACTACATATCGTCGACTTCTAATACAGTAGCTATAAGTACGTATATACTCTAGCTAACGGTAAGCCTGTTGTATATGCGTACTGTAAATAAGCGGTTTTGAAAAACCTTTGTCCCTGGTACCGATAGATCATCAGTCTGGACGCGCGCCAACTTTCCAAAATGTAAATCCAATAGACAACGTATTCATATATGTTCTATATAAAGGCTTCCACTAGAGTATGTGAAACAAATAATAGTATATAATTCAAATAAAACACTTTAATGGTTAAAAACGCGATATATAAATATCGCGTTTTAAAAATAATTTTAAAGCATTTCGGATGCTTTGCAGCAGCCATGGTCACGGGGAGACTAAAGATGGAGGATGTCTCTGACGTCAAAGTAACAATTGCTACGCTAGCGCCAACTGTTCCGTCGAAGTTGGTGTTGGGCAAAACTGGCCGGGTTCCTGCGAAACGTCGGGCCGAAGTTAAAAATAATTTTTAAATAAGTTAAACTAATATAATATATCGCGTTATAAACCGTTAAAGTGTTTTATTAAAACTTGTATAAACTCCAGACAGTATTTAGTATATAATTCGTTTGTACTCTGTAACTACTCTTGTAAACAAGACTTGGTCTTTCGGAATTGTGTGTTTTGTCACCAAAAATGCCAAGTAAGAAAAAATATACACATACATACTCTTACACAATATATATTAAAACACAGATCCAATTATTTTAATAAGATATCCATTGTTTACATTAGTATTCTTGAAGGATTTGCTGAAAGCGGTCGAGCTGTGCTATTAAAGCGAGTTTCAGAATCACACCAATGAATGGATGAATATAAAGAAGTCTTGAGTGTAAGAGTTGAATACACTTGGATTACTACTAAAATTTAGATGTCATAGACATCCTTTCTTATTTTATCATATTACCATGAGAAAGGCTTGAAATAAAACACATCTACATGTTAAGAAGGTGAAATATATATGTTTACTTTTTTAACGACAACCTATCGTTTTGACTATTTTATAGCAGTGATTGATAGCGGAAGACGAAATGACATGGAGACTCAAACAATATATTTCATGTTTTAAACGGTGCCAGACCACAAAATTCAAGAAATATCAATTTTGTTGTCTACTACACCTACATATTAGAATTGCCTAAAAATATAGAGACAAAATATATTAATGTATATTTCATGCTAAATAGAAATGTTTGGATCGTAAAAAACTAATTAAGGCATAAATTAAAACTGATACTCCAATGCGCATGACCGCCCGCAGATACAATAACAATAAAAAATATAAAGCTTCCCGCAACTGTCCTCCAATTTGATGAGGGTATGAAATTTGACAAGCATCCACCTGTGACCCGTCATAGCACAAATAATCACAAATTACAAAACAGACATTGTGCTTGACATACATTTTTGTTTATTAAATATATATTTGAAAATGATTGCTTATACTTAGTTTTAAAGTCTAGTCTATTTAGTAAGTACAATATTTAGTAACCAATATTAATTACTCACATTATTTTTGTAAGGCGGAAAATAGAAATATGAAATAAGATCTTTTGAAATAGAAATTCTTTTCAGTTTAATTTACGCAGAACTGTGAGACTAAGCTTCAATTTCCTTGAAGTAGTGAATACATAGAATTCTCTTGAAGTTTATCTTTGATGTAATATCTAGGAAATTAACGTTGAATATAGTAAAATTTATTTAGAGACCTAATACTAGTCGATGCTTTCATTCAGATTTGAAATTTCATTGATTTTAGGATTCCGAAGCCAAACTGAAGAGAAAAAGAACCAGTTTCAGCAAATATATGTTGTGTACTTCATTACGTAAAGGGTTCCGTACTTCGTAGCACGTGCTAATACTAAATACCAAGGCTAGTTTTTGAGCAACTCTAGTTTTAAAACCAACATAATTTATATTCAAAACTTGACATAAGATATATTTACTTGAAATAATGAAAATGTATTTAAAATCACTCAACGGAATGATTTGAAATATGAAAAATAAATAAAAATATCAAAGGTGCTATCTTATTGACGAAGACGTGGGTAGATTGAATAAAAATAGTTATCAATTTTAAGGGTAAATAATAATGTAGACAAAAATAATCTAGACCCATCAATAAGAAGATTCGATTCGGAGTCCGTAATCCATGAACTTAGGATCAATAGAATATTAAACTTTACACAAAAAATAAATTGCCGAAATTTTTGATTTCGTCGGCTGATGAAATTTTATTAACTGGAGTTTTCTCATACGACGCGTAATGGTGTGGTCCTGGTACTAACTCTGAAATCAAATAACAATCAATGTGCTGGCGTTTGGGGTACTAAACCTAAAATCAGACAAACACAAAAATGGCTTAAATTAGTTTACATGATATGTACACATTTTACAGAATTACAATGTTCGCATTAAGAATCTTAAACAAAAACTATTACATATTATTAATGCACTTTTGAAAAACCTTCGTTCAGAAATTGTTACAACGACATAATTTTACTTATCGTTCTTTGATGTAAATTTCTATTTCCATGAAATATTTGTTAGGAAGTTAGTTATCTTTTTCGCTAGTCATCTTTTACTTACAGGCAAGTAATCTCAGTCAATTTTTAACCCAGCTTGACCGCAATGCATATTTAAATAAACATTTTAACGGTTTAAAACGCGATTGATGCAGAAGCCGTGGTCACGGGGAGGCCGTTGTTGCAAAGCATCCGAAGTGTCAGGCCGTAGATAAAATAACTTTATCTAATATATCAAGTTTAAAACCGTTAAAATGTTTTATTTCAATATGTACTACTTGACAAAACTACGGACAATATTTACGCAATGAATTTTTTCGAAGGGGCTTGAACCCAAGCTCCGTCTTAACGCAATATGTTTAAATGCCATCATAAATGCATTTCAGTGTATCATTCAATTGGTATAGTTGAAAAAAATAGTTTACTCACTCCGTTTATTTATTTCGTCTGCTATCCCTGTATCTTGGCGTAGCCTTCTCCAGTCCATCATTGTCTTCCATTTCGGTGTGGCCAGGAAGGGTATCACCAGTTTATGTGTCTTTGTCGTGGTCGTCTCACTCTCAGGTACCGTTGAATTTAACGTATTGATATTTAGGATGAAAACTATATCCGTAGTAATCATCATTGCACGGGTTGATTTTGTTTTACCTGGAAATTAGACGAATTACAGGTTAAAAACTTTAATTAGTTGTTTCCTTTTTATTTGTCACTTTATATAAATGCATACTACTCGCGTGTATAACAGACACTACTTAGGAAATATTTTAATAAAAGTAAAAGCTATTTCGTAAAAAAGCTTATATTAAATTATGTATTAGACTTTTATTTAGGTATTAAACAACCGTTTTAAATTAAAGGTAGACAACGCTTAATTAAACATAGATACTCTGTAAACAGACCTTTATCAAAATTATATCTTAAAGAAATATTATTATATTGTCCGGCCATCCTTTTCATAATTATAAATTTAAATGTATCAATTATTATTATTAAGAAATAAATTACAACTATGTATATATGTACTTATATAATTTTTTTACACTTTTAATTTATTAAGTTCACGTACTTTTACAAGCTTAATACATTTTCACATGTGCACACGATGGCGTTATATATAATATGTAAATAGATGTTAAAAATGTAAATCAATCATTTTTTATAGTAGGTACTTACCTGTTCGTCCTAATCTTCTTATTCTTACTGGTCGTTTAATCGCTCTTATGATATTCTTCCAGGCATTATTAATTGAATTCTGTAATTAATATTAAGTAATCATTAATTATTGTAATAAAATAAGTAAGAAAACATTTCATTATCTTATGCAAAAAAGTAAATTACACAACCAACATTTTATAATGGACAGCCTCCGTGGTGCAATTGTTGATTTACAAAATGCATTTGCTTTTTCTGGTGCATATCGAAAGCAGATTAACCCACGTTTAAAAGGTATGTGGCGCGCCTCCGCTCTGATTAGTACGACTAGCGTTCTTCCCCTATGTGGGTTTCCCCAGGTTCAGAAACGTAGTGTAAGGCGGAGTAGCGTGCAGTCGGCGTAACTCGACTCGCCACGGTTTTGTTGCCGAACAGCGTTCTTCGATTGCTCTTGTCGCTGGTTGCCGTTCGGCCCACGCACCCTGCTAGTGCGTATTGGGTTTGAGGGTGTCTGGATCAGGATCGCCAATAAAAACGACTTCTTAAGGTTTCTTGAGAGTTGTCCGATGTTCTTAGGTGTTTCTTCTTCAATGGCTGGTTAGCGTCTGACTTTTGCACTCTCTTTTGCGGATTTTTGAATCCTACGGAGCGAGCGCACTATTCGTGTGGTGTAACGTAGTCACTTCATCGGACCTCTCTCTCATTTATTGTCTATCTCTTTCATACAGTATACCTCTCTGTCTAACAATACATCTCTTTCTAACAGTATGCATCTCTTTCTAACAGTATACTACTCTAACACTTTTTATTATTTACATATTTCAATATAGACTTATTTCTAATCTTATTTTATTACAAATTTCTTAATACTATGGTCGCCTACAATTCTCCCCCTCGTGCCGTCGCACCAATCTCTTGTCCAGGCGACTCCATTGGCACCAGTAAAACGATGCGCGATGCCGGTCGTCGAAGCACGCCAGCTTTGGTTGACACGTCTACCACTCGTACTCGCCCGTCGACTCCTGGATGCGTAGCCTTCACTCTTCCCCGTGGCCATGTACAGCGGGGTAGTGTCGGGTCCACAATGTAGACTATGTCTCCTTCCCTTAGGTTGCGTGCTCGATCCGTGCGGCCGTCGATTCGTCTCGGTAGCAATGTCGGGAGATATTCTTGCAACCATCTCTTCCAGAAGTGATCGGCTAACAGCTGCGTTGTTTTCCAGGTGTCCCGACCGACTAATTCTTCATTCGCGAACGCCCCGATCCGCGCTGCACCACAGGAACGCCCTATCAAAAAATGGTTAGGTGTTAGGGCTTCTTCCTCCGCGTTGTCCGTTAAGTTGGTGAGAGGCCTCGAATTGACGATGTGTTCGGCCTCGAGTAGTAATGTGTGCAGCACTTCTTCCCTCGGACGTCGTTCTCGCAGCGTAGCTTCCAAAGCGACCTTTATTGATCGCACCATTCGTTCCCAGGCGCCGCCCATGTTTGGCGCTCCAGGCGGAATAAATTTCCAATGCACGCCGAGTTTTTCCGCTTCCGTTGCCAGGTTGTCCTTTGCTAGTGCTTCCCACGCCTCCTTCAGTTCTCTGTTCGCGCCGATGAAGTTGGTTCCGTTGTCGCTGTATAAGACCCGCGGCGCGCCTCGTCGTGCAGCAAAGCGTCTCAATGCCATGATCATTGAGTCCGTAGAAAGCGTTGGCACCAGCTCCAGATGAATTGCTCTCGTCGTTAGACATGTGAAGAGAGCACCCCATCGCTTCTCGTTGCGCCTGGCGACGGTGATTGTCATCGGCCCGAAGTAGTCCACTCCGGTGCATGTGAACGGGTGTGTTCCGTGGCGTAGACGCTCCTCCGGTAGATCCCCCATTGGTGGTGTCACTGGCGAAGCACGACGCATGATGCATGTCTGGCAACGACGTTGCATCCCCTTGATAGCTGCACGTAGACCGATTATCCAGTAGCGCTGGCGTATCTCGTTCATCACCGTGGCGTGGTTTGCGTGATTGAAGCGTCGGTGATAATCTTCTAGTATTAGACGCGCAATGTGGTTCTTCGCGTCTAATAAGATTGGTGTCTTGTAGGTACCGGACACTCCGCTTATCGCTCCGACGCGACTCTGTAGTCGAAGTAGTCCATCTTGATACTTCGTTTCAAATAGTCTCAGCTTGCTTGTTCGTCCCAGCGAATGTCCCTTCTTGGCGCTTGATATTTCGTCGGCGAAACTTTCCCCCTGGCTCCGCTTCAACAGTAACTTCTCGGCTTCGACTAATGTCTCGTGATCGATGACAGAGAAGTTCCTCGTCGGCTCGCCTTTGCGTTGTGTCGTTTTCTTCGCGATCTTCGGTTTCTGCGGCTTCCATGTTTCATCCCTTTTTCTGCACGCGTTGACGGCGTGCTTATTTCTGCAGAGCTTGATAAATTGCAGAACACGCGCAGTCGTACGCCATAACCGCAACCATGACGAAAATCGCTCAGGGGATGGTGTCGATTCCGCTTCTACGAACGCATGATACACTTTGTCGCTCTTATCTTCGTCCGTCCCGTGCCGCTCGAACTTCCGTGGTGTTGGCCATTGAGACTCGTCGCGATGTAAGAACTCCGGCCCCTTGAACCACCTGTGCGCCGCGTCAAAGTTGTCTGGAGTTTGGCGCGTCGCGTCATCCGCTGGATTGTCGCTCGTTGAGACCCAGCGCCAATCCTTTGCATTTGTGAGTTCTTCAATCTCCGCCAATCTGTGTGCCACGAAAGTCTTGAATGTTCGTGGGTCGGACTTTATCCAGGATAGTACGACACTTGAATCGCTCCAATAGGTCCTCTTCGTAATCTTTAAATCCAGTTCGCCTTCGATGGATCGGGATAGCCTGGCTCCCAACAAAGCAGCTTGTAACTCCAGTCGCGGTATCGATGTCGGTTTCAATGGTGCGACTCTTGCTTTTGCCGCCACTAGATTCAGCCTGAACCCATCTTGCTCTCGAGCGCGCCAATACACCGCCGCAGCATAGGCCGACTCGCTCGCGTCGACGAAAGTATGTAGCTCCCCCTCGGTGCAAATTGGTGTTATACACCGAGGGATAAGTAGGTCGCTCGCCGTCTTCATTGCTTGCAGGTATTTCTTCCAGACTTCATAATCTTCTTCGTCGATAGCGTCGTCCCACCCGACGCCGCTTCTCCATATACGTTGTATAAGCTTCTTGCCTTGTATCACGATCGGCGACACAAGGCCAAGAGGGTCGAACGTCGCCATGACCGCGCTGGTCACCTGCCTCTTCGTTGGCGTAGATTCTCCGCTCGCTACATCTTCCGGAGTTTTTCTCAGCTCGGTACGGAATCCTAATTCGTCGCTCTTCGTCAACCAGCGTAGCCCGAGCGTCTTCTCTTCTGATTCGCCGATCGCAACCACTTCCGCCGTTGATTTCTTCACGCCTAAGTGCCTCAATAGTCCCTCATGATTGGAAGCCCATCCTCGTAGTTCAAAATGCGCCTTTAGATGAACTTCGTTGACTTGGTGTGCGATCTCTTGTCCCTTTGATACATCGTGGAAGCTTTGAAGATAGTCGTCCATGTAATGATTGCGCACTATCGCTGTCGCCGCTTCCGGGTACATCTGCGACCAGTCTTCTGCGTTCTTATTCTTCGCGTAGATTGCCGAACAAGGTGATGACGCCGCGCCGAATACTACAGACGTCATTCTGTATTCTCTGATCGGGTCGTTGTCGTTCTCTCGCCACAGGAAACGCAGGCTGTCTCGATCTTCTGGTTTGATGCGTACTTGTAAAAACATTTCCTTAATATCAGCCGCCACCGCTATCGGTCCTTGTCGGAAGCGAAGTAGTACTCCAAACAACGATTGCAGAAGGTCGGGTCCCGGTAGGAGCGCGTCGTTCAGGCTTATCCCGTGGGATCTTGAAGCTGCATCGAAAACAATTCTGATTTTCTTCTTCAAAGGATGAGTAACGGCGAAGTGAGGCAGATACCATTTGCGCTTCGATAAGCAATCTTCGGGCGCCTCTTCCGCGTATCCCTCTTCTAACAAATGTTTAATTTGCCGTGTGTATTCCGTTTTCATGTGTTGATCCCTTTGAAGTTTCCTTTCGATGTTCTTCAGTCGACTTAACGCCATGTCGCGACTCTCCGGCATGATCGAATTGTCCTGTTTCCACAACAGACTGACTTCGTAGCGTCCATCTTCTCGACGACGACTGGTGCTCTCTAGTAAGGAGAGAGCTCTTGCCTCGATGTCCGTTGTAGGTCTCTTCGCTTGCACCCCCAGTGACTCCAAGGCGAAATGTTCCTTCATCAGTTCGTATATGGCATCCTCCTTCATGTGTAGGCACGTGTTGACTTGATGGACCGATCGACCGCCGTGCTCTGTTCCATGTAGTACCCATCCGAGCTTTGTACGTGAGGCTACTAGTTGCCCGGGTCGACCTCTTCGGACTTCCAGTGACACGATGCAGTCCCAGTTGTCTTGACCGATTAGTAGCGCCGGTGCTTCTGCTTCATGCCACAATGTTTCCACTAGGTCCTTTAAATGCGAGCACGACTCGATGATCTTCTTGTCGACGAATTGCGGCGATAGTTGCAAGTTATCCATAGTTCGTACGCCGTGTAGTGTCCGTTTGAATTTCTGCCCGCGGCCCTTTATCTGAAGATCCGTTTCTATTGACCTAGTCTTCAGTCGCTTGCCGCCTACAGTCTCGATGGATAATTCTTGCGGTCGCCCATTAATTCCGAGTTCCTCCGCCACCGTTGAATCCAGAAGTGTGAGAGTCGATCCTTCATCTAACAACGCTGTGATTTGACGCGTCCCTTTAGGCCCGAACACCTTGACTCGTGCCATCTTTAATAATGCGCGTGCGTTGCGTGCCGTGTTGACCGCTGCTGTCACATTCATCTCGGATGTAGTGGGTTCCCTCTCCTCGGTGCGCACGTCGACATGTAAAAGCGCGTGATGCCACTTCTTGCATATTCTGCACGGCGGTTTTCGGCACGATTCCTTCCGATGTTTACCGCCGAGACACTTGAAGCATATCCTGTTTTGTTTTACGATGTGCCACCTTTCTCGGACTGGCGCCTTTTGGAAATTGACGCATTCCAATAACGCGTGTGCCTCATCGCAATGTGGACATCTTCTTGCTTCTTCTTGGACATTATGTGCACTGTGTCTCAACGGCCTCCGGCTTGTGGCTCTATTCTCTTCTAAAGTAGCGAAGGCGCCGCATTTGTCCGCTTCCTGGTTGAGAAACTCTCCTATTAAGCGAAGATCTGAGAATGCGTCATCTTCCTTCCGTGCCGTGTAATCATACCACCGGAACTTGAGAATGGTTGGCATCTTTTCTATTATGCTCTTTACCATGTCTGGTGAATGGAGGTACTGTTGCCTCTTCAGCCCTCGTATCGCGGCCACACTGTTGTTAATTTGGCTCGCGAATACGCATATGTCGCGTGGGCTCTCTGTCATTCGCGGCAACGCCTTCACTTTCTCCAATTCCGCTAGTACAAGTGCATCCGGTCTTCCGTACCTTCTTCGGAGAGCGTCCATGACTTCGGATGGCTGTGCTTCAGAATATAGAAGGCTCTTGATACCTTCTCTTGCGGCTCCCTTAATGGCTCTCCTTAGCCGCGCCATGTTTTGCGTAGCTGTGAACATAGTTGCGGTGTCGTCGTATACGACCCGGAAAGCTGTCCATTCACAGCTATCGCCTTCGAACACGGGTAGTTCCTGAATGTATTTCGGTTGCGCCGTGTTCTCCCGTAATGCTTCTTTGAAAGCATGAACTATATCCTTTGCCGTATCTTTCGGCTTCTTCTGTGGCTCAGGTTTCGGTTCTTCTGCCTCTTGGCGGCCTGAGGAGCGGATCCATTCTTCTATATCCTTATTCCGCTCGTCGTCGCTACTACCGTAGACAGAATCTTCCTCTTCCTCTTGCGCTCGTTGCAGCCGTATCCTTGCGAGACGCGCCGCCGCCTCGGCTTGCGCTAATTCAAGGCGAGCCAGTTCCTCTTGGGCTTCTAATGTTCGCCGCATGGTGCTCGCTCTTGTTCTCGCCGTACGCGCTGTCCTTGCTTGTGGGCTGGCTTGCCGGGTAGAACCCGCTGGTACCAGGGTCATCGTCCTCCCTGGCTGGCTCGCCGCCCCTTGAGACGCTACCGTTTCTTCGCTCGTAGTTCTCTCAGTACCCGATGTAGTCGCCGTAGTTGTGTAGTCCGTATCGCTCGTTGCGGTAGCCGAGGTGCTATCTTCTGCGGTACGGGCTGCTCCTCTCTGCGATCTTGTGACTGGCATCTTGATGTATTGCAGGATCCGGCTCGAAGGACCAACGATTGTGGCGCGCCTCCGCTCTGATTAGTACGACTAGCGTTCTTCCCCTATGTGGGTTTCCCCAGGTTCAGAAACGTAGTGTAAGGCGGAGTAGCGTGCAGTCGGCGTAACTCGACTCGCCACGGTTTTGTTGCCGAACAGCGTTCTTCGATTGCTCTTGTCGCTGGTTGCCGTTCGGCCCACGCACCCTGCTAGTGCGTATTGGGTTTGAGGGTGTCTGGATCAGGATCGCCAATAAAAACGACTTCTTAAGGTTTCTTGAGAGTTGTCCGATGTTCTTAGGTGTTTCTTCTTCAATGGCTGGTTAGCGTCTGACTTTTGCACTCTCTTTTGCGGATTTTTGAATCCTACGGAGCGAGCGCACTATTCGTGTGGTGTAACGTAGTCACTTCATCGGACCTCTCTCTCATTTATTGTCTATCTCTTTCATACAGTATACCTCTCTGTCTAACAATACATCTCTTTCTAACAGTATGCATCTCTTTCTAACAGTATACTACTCTAACACTTTTTATTATTTACATATTTCAATATAGACTTATTTCTAATCTTATTTTATTACAAATTTCTTAATACTATGGTCGCCTACAAGGTATAACGTTATTATTTTCACAGCTTTCATTTATACTCATATTATAGATATATTTAGCTGAAGGGGTTTGTTTGAAAGCAGTAATCTCAGGAACTACTAGTTCGAATTGAAAAACTATTTTTGTGTTAGTTGGACCATTTATTGAGGAATGCTAGGCGAAAATAGAAGGACGCGACTTATAGTAGCGAAGAAACAGTGAGAAAGGTGGAAAAAACAGGGAAAAAATTACGTCGTTGATGTTCTCCGTTGCGCGCGTCGCGTAAACGGTTCAAGATACCAAAAAAATAACTTTAAATGAATAATCTAAAAAAGCGACAGTATATGTCTTCTTTATCATTTTAAGACTAACTTACTAACTAACCATTTTTATGGTAATCGAATGTTGTCGAAGTACTTTATTTAATTTATATAATTTATGCCAAAATGATGTTACCAGGTCAGCTAGTTATATCATATGTACTCTATTCTAGTCTTCTTGGCTGTACGTGTAAACATGTACTTACCCCAAAATCTGACGGCAAGTTTGAAAAAAACTCACGTATGTCACTAGTCACTGCATCCAATATTAATAATGTCAATAAAAGCCTAACACACGTTACAACGCGAAGCGGAGCCATTTTGTAATCCCACGCGCCCATTGAACAATGTCCTATTGTCGAACGATTAATAACATTTCAATTTAAATATTTATACAACTTAGTTTCATGACTAATGTATTTTTTAAATTCTAGGAAATAAGGCATGTGCACAGAGTATGAGAATATACAGGTGCAGGAGGCAACTGGCATCATATCGAAAAATTTCACAATTTAAAAAAGAAGAATCCAAGTTTTATTTTATAGTAAAATGTTTATTGACCCATATTCAGATATTAAAAGGCTTTAGTTTATTGAAATACGTCTATACTAAATACTGTCTGTAGTTTACATGCGAGGAGTACACATTTAAATAAAACACTTTAACGGTTTAAAACGCGATATATTTTAATTAAACTTGTTTGAAAATTATTTTTAACTAAGGACCAACGTTTCGGATACTTTGCAGCAGCCGTGGTCACGGGGAGACAGAGTCCCAGCTGTAGGACTGGAATAATATTTTTATAAGAATTTGAATTATCTTAATATATCCGCATTACAACAATATAAACATTATTAGTAATGAGAAACACCCTTATTGCTTTACACAAACACTTAATTCTAGATATTAATGTGACATGATAAATATCTCACACATAGTATTCGCGACGGTTGTTCCAATTATAGTGTAATAAATTATAGATAACTCCTGTTTTACATTAGTTTAATGATTAAAGATGATAAGTGCAACGACACTACATCTTGTTTCCATTTAAAATTACCATATGTATATATATTTTAAAAACAGTAATGTATTTTTGATAACCGTTATTATGTTTTTGTTATATAAAATTGTATTTGAACGGATTTGTAAGTTCATTAATAAGTATGTAATTTTAATACTTAATTAAAACAACAAGTATCTCTTCGCACATTACTCTTTACAAACTAGCTAGGAACATTTTGACTAATGGGATCTATAGGTGTTTGTGTGTGAAGAAGCACTTTACAGATATGAAAATAATCCACAACAAATTATGTACATTTTTTTTATTTAGGTATCTACGTATGTCCTTTATTTTATTTTTTACATAATTCCTATATATAGATTCGTAAAGTATACGTAAAATATGCGTATTTTTACGACGTCTAAGTGTAATGTCATAGATGACTTGCAAAGGATTGAGTTTCTGCTACATTACATTGGTGTAAAAACACAAACTTTCCCTTCAACGAATAAAAGCTTTTTCGCTGAAGAGTATCCTTCAAAAGTGAGAGTCACCTCCCCACTAGTTAGGGAAAACTTGACATTAGGCTGAGGTGATACTGGGCGCCGTGCTTGAATATAAAGTAACATTTCTGCATTTAAGTTATACCTGTACCTTATGCGATTCGATACAGCAAATAGGTAAATACATTTACTAAATCAATTCGAGTTTTATTAAAACTGCATTTCTTTAAACGAATGTGAATGTTCTTTTCTTTATTGCATTATGCTTTATTCCATGACGAACTAGTTAGTCAACAAGTTGCCTGAAGTCTGAATATCGTTTATACGCAGCCATTAAATTAAATAAACATTTGTGGACGTCAAACTATTGTACGAAATACGTCTATTTTAAGATTATGTTACAAGTGCTATTCGTACTACCGTTGAAAAGCCAAAGAGAGGCTGTTCATAGCAGTCAGTAGGTGTATTAAATATTATAATTTAATTTGTCATTGTTTTTAGGCCTTCTGTCTGTAAAAAAAAAATAGGTTTACCTCAGTATACCTTCATCCTGTGACTCGGCATTGCAGTAACTTCAGAGAGTGTTGGCGACTTCTGAACTCACAAGCGTCACCGCGTTGAGTGCTTGTATAGTGGGTGTACTCAGACTGGAGAATACGTGAATTTTTGATTGAAATCCACTTTTCGGCTTTAAAACTTGAAGTGGAGTGATAAACTCATGAAAATACTTAATCTGTAGCCTATGTAGATAGACTAGAAATGAGAATATATATAGTTTAGTTATTAAAATATTCATTGCCATCTACTAAACATATAAAACCTTTCTCTTCTATAAGAATATAAGCTAAACTTAATAAATATTATCTAAATTTAATCAAAAGTAAAACTATACCCTGTAATTTATAGGCATAATATATATATGGCCCAAACTTATTGAATCCAACGTTTCTATCACAATTGAGAACATTAGTAACAAATGTGACATGTAACATGAATACTCGCTATATTTAATATCTGTGGTACCTATAATTAGAGAACAGACTGAGAATCTTTCTTTGAAGGAAGGGAGAAAACCTTACAACAATTTTTCTAGCTAAAAGTTACTGGGGCGGCGAAACCATCTGGTTGTGGCAAGACTCTAAAACAACTAACTTCAAAGATGTGGTCCCGTTTCGAAAGTCTTATTAGATGTTAACTAGAAAATCAATTAACTCGCAAGTGAACCAATTACCGCCAAACGTCTAACTTTAAACTTTAACCAACCTTTTAGGTTATGCCTTGTAGGTTTTCCTTTTAGTTTGCGCATAATTTTGCTCGGGAACTCCCTTATTTTACCTCTCACTATGAACGCTAATATCATTTATACGAGTTGCACTATTTTACACTTCCAAAATTTAAAGTTTAAATTCATTACACATTAATAAATTAATACAACTTGCTACTTACGATTCGACAGATTACAAAATGTAATAAAAATAATTTCATTATTAGCAGGTGTGTTATCAAATAACATGTTTACAATATTTGGTTATTATCACTAATTGAAAGAAGTATTTGCAAGAATTATATTTGTCGTGGATTCAAATCCTGCTCAGGTTAAATTTTGTAAACTTTTCAAGCTGTAATAAATAAATATACTAAATACTACAACCTACAGTGTCCCTTCACACTTCAATAAATAAGAGTATAATTCATGATGTACGGATAATTTTAGTATTATTTTGTCCACGTTCTTCAAATAAGTAAAAAAGACACTATTGCTACGGATCTTTTAGGACTCATAAATTTATTTATTTTGACTTAACCTTACAAACAGACTGTAGACTATTAATAGTCGTCATCGTATGGCCTTCTGAGCCTCGGTGGAGCAGTTCTGTCTTCTACATCTGAAACACAATTTACACTGATTACATATGATAGAAAAGTAAAAGATGAAACTTTGTTGTGTAGTAATAGGAGATATGTATTTTAGAGTCTACTTTATTATGATAACTATAAAGAGTATAAAAAGTCATAATGAAGGCGTGTAAATATAAAATACCGTAATATTGACTTCGTAGCGGTGAACGCTGTAGCTTTCCGAATGCGGTCGCATCCTGCGGTTGCCTTTAATATCAAAGCAAATAACGTTTTTTAATTAAGCACAGATAAAATATCCTCTAAAATAAAGAAATTCCTTGTGCGTAACAGAACATTCATCATTTATTTTACTCGCAAACTGAGGAAAGATTTTGTTATATTTTTTAAATATGAAACAACGTAATTAATATGCTAAATACTGTCTAAGTTTAGATAGTAAATTTAAATAAAACACTTTAACGGTTTAAAACGCGATATATTAGTTAACTTATTTGAAAAGATTTTTAACTTCGGTTTCGGGCTTTGCAGCGGACGGGGGCTGTCTCCCGTGACCCGGCTGGGGGGGGGAAGGAACGGGAAGGGGGGGGGGGGAGTTTTAAATCATTTTCAAATAAGTTTAACTAATATCGGGTTTTAAAACCGTTAAAGTGTTTTATTTTAATATTAAATATTTGCGGCACTTACTCGTCACTTCCTAGAGATAGTAATACAATTGGATTACTTCTAGTGTAATCTTCAAAATCGCTGCCATCATCATCTCGAAGAGTGTGCCCATCATCACCGCTTTTGATGAAACTCAACAGTTCATTTAGATCCATTTTATACTTTTTAGTTTTAGAATGAGACACATCGCTTATTCTTTGCCCGTCTGATAGTAATTGTGTTAGTTGTTTTATTAACTTTGAATTTGTTTTCTTGTTAGTGAATGTTTGAATGTAATCATCTTGTCTTAGTTCGTCTGGGTCAAAATAATGGGTATCGACATCTCTGTTGTCTTTTGTTTTTCGTATTTCGTAAACCTCAATTCTCGGTTCTGCGTTTACTTCCACTGACATAGCCGCTATAACTACGAAATAAACATACTTTACAGATGATTTCGAGATTTTGAACTATTAGAAATAAAATAAAAAATTAAAACTTTGTTGCCGAGAAAAATTAAATAACGAATAATCAAAAAATACTTACACAGAACGAAAACAATTAACCTTTTCATATTTGCTGTCGCGTTCAAAGGCTCGTATTAACTAGGTAGCCGAACGAATTTAATTTTCTTTATGGCCTTTTTACGACTAGAGCCGGCATTTATCTCTTTTCGAAAATTGCTTAGCCATAAATCGGATATTCTATTCGTTTTATGAATCCTGCGCCGGTCTTGTAATTGTTTAACGAGAATAACCTTCTGGAAGTTAAAAGATAACTTACAAAATAATTCAATAAGTTTATATGAATTTTCATACGAGTTTATTTTGAGAATTAATCTATCCGCAGTAAATAATCCCTTAAATTAAACAAACATACCCAACGGACAATTTGTGTATTGTTGGGAATAGAATGAACAGTGAACATACACGGGAGTTTGTTTAGGACCCCAACGCGAGTCTGCTAATAAAACATGATCCGATTTACTTGAAATTTTCACATTTTTATCGGAAAAAGGCAATTTCTGAACACAAATATTTACGCAGTCCCAAATTAAATTATGTGTCCAATGATTAAAGCTTACGTAATTAAATTTCGGAACGTATTTTTTTAAGTTCTTCTTTGTTTTTGCTCAATAATGTTGTTAATTAAAAGTCTACTCAGATGGGGAAAAGTTGATTTGAATCGCCGTTCCGTGCTGCTTTAATTCCAATCTACTTGACTACCGAGTCCTACACGTCACCATCGAATTTCTACACCCATTAATATTTTCAACCATAATACTTAGGCATCGAGGTTCAATGCCCTGCTTTGCAGCTTAAGAAATAGTTATCTAAATATATTTTTAATATATAATTTACATGACATGTGAAAAATATTAGTTTTCAAATAATATTTTTCTACGTAAAACTAACCTATGTAATTAGTCTTCAGTCACTCACAGAGATAAGATTAGTGTCGAACCTATGTGTGACTACGTTACAAGCGTGTGCTTGACATGCTAATGCCTAATCAAGCTGATATATCTAGATGCGTGGGCTCCGAAACTAGCTAGATAACATTTTTTATACTAATTCTGGCGCATCGCGCTTAGTTCTAGAACTTAGCAGATAGACCAACCATTTCTATCATGTCTTATTACATTACTATAAATATAATAGTTATATAAATAAACACACAATTTTAATACTACAAAAAAATCTATTAAACACACATATATTAAAATAGAAGTATACTAAATAAACAAAAATGTGAAAAACACAGACACATATTGTATCCAAACTGCAATAGAATGGAATGGAATTTGGTCATTAAAAAAAAAATACAGGTAAGATAAAAAAAATTGATGTATCAAACATTATGTCAATGTCAATCTTTGATGACAATTGACAACTACTACAATTTATTTTGACTAATTTTCATATGGATTACGCGATGTACCCAGCCCGGTCAATTTTAGTTTAGCGCTACTGGTTAACTGACAGCTTTAAATAGGTATATATCGTGATTATAATGCCTAAATATTTAGACTAGCCCACTGCTTAAATCCAGTTTTACCTACGAAGTTAACATAAATTAGGAACTAAGGTCTTGAAGGAGCGTTCTGGTTATATTCAGTGCTGATGTTGCCACTTTAATACCCACACCTGAGTTGGAGTCAGTCGAGTATGTAGCTAATATCCTAAATGCTATCTTCAGAGCTAAATGCGGCTTGACGTCATGCCTCGAGGTATTAAGTAAAATTTAATTTATTTCAAGATTCCACAACGCACTTAAGTGTTAAATGATTTATGAGGTTTTACAACAGTTTAATAAGATATTCTTATAGGTTATATTACTATATATTTATTGATTAAAAAAATAAAACTTATATAAGATTTAAACCTAAGACTAACAGCGTACCGTGTTACCGCTCTACAAATAGAACAACCGTGTCCCATCTGTGATAATCAAAATTTTCTGTCCATTTATAAATACACCTTTCGCGCATTTTATGTTAACCTTTGCACTATATTTTAAGTTTCCATATTCCAATGTATGCATATAAACGTTCGATTTTCATTTTGGGTTTCCGTTAAGTGTTTAAAAATTATTTTTCTCAATTTTCTTTTTTAACTTTGTAGAGGCTTGTTCCTTACGAATACTGTTAAATATTAACTTAAACTATTAATGGACGAGACTGAACAAAAGGTTTTATATCTCTAAGATTTTCGAATAAGCTTTTGATTAAAGTACAAAAAAAATATGAAACAGATATGCTCACTTCACATATCGGAGCTATTCCAAGAATAGATTTCACAATCAATAAAATAATAAACTGATTCGAACAGTAAGGATTTATTATTATTTACATATCATTATTATATCTATGTTATTCTAGAGAATATAAATATTATTCTTTTCATAAATTCGTTGACGAAAATGTTTATAAGGTTTTAAATTGACTTCAAAAAACGAAAATTATCAATTCGATTTGTATTTGACTTTTAAATTATATTAAAAATATTCCTTAAATCAATTAACTACAGGAAAATATATACCTTGTATGAAGTAAATTTATTTTAATCCTTTGAGTTTGCTGTTTACATTTTTTATGCTTTTTTCCGAGCAGTTTCTTTTTCTATTCAAGACGAACGTTTCCCATCCCTCCATCTGATAACAATTGATGCGATCTCAAGGAAGAAATTCCGTTTAATTTTCTATGTAATACTGTGCATTTTAGTTATTCTGTGGTGGAGTTGAGAACCGTGTAACCCGTTGGACGCGACCAAACAAGGACATCTCGAATCAAATATTCACGCGGGCGAGTAAGGTTCTATGTCGCTGTCTCTCAGTTCTAATTGGCTGAGAGACAGTTTAAATCCATGCACACAATTTAAAAAGTGAAGGTATCAGCTATGATAGTGGAGAACATATTTCAGAGGTTTGTGAAATAGGCCTTTCAAAATTAAGGATGGTTTTCGTACAGAATTTTCACAGAACAAGGACATAAATAGGCAATAATCGTTGTTTATTCGAGCCCTAACGGGTTCAACATCTCCCCCGTCTCCCCGTGACCACGGCTGCTGCAAAGCATCCGAAACGTTGGGCCGAAGTTAAAAAATAAAATAATAATAATTTTCAAATAAGTTTAACTAATATATCGCGTTTTAAACCGTTAAAGTGTTTTATTTAAATGGGTTCAATATATTTCTAGTGAATTTATAACTATAGATATCTGGTAAGTCTGGATGTTAAGTGGGTGTTAGGTAGGTATATCAACATTCCGGCCTGGTCACGAACCTCACAGCTAAAAAAGGTCGACAACGCATTTTGTTCTTTTTATATCACCCTGAGGTTTCAAACCTTCCAGGGTTCGGAAAAGAATGTATATTTACTTTCACAAGTCTAACCAAATAGCATTAGGCTTGTCAAACTTGAGCCCGAACATATCCCGGGCAAATTCAATATGAAAGCGATAGCCGAAGCGAGGCTTGCGCAAATCCTGGTAACAAATAGACGTAGCCGGGATCACGGGCCTGCTTATTCAATTAGTTTGCAACGGGTGCTGTAACTTCTCACTAGCTCCACTCAGTTGGCCCAAACCAAGGCGCGAAAAAAAATCGTGTTTACCTTTTTATCATTAGGCGCTGTAGACTAGCAAGGTAGAAGTTTAAATAAAAAACAATAGTAGTAATGTTGACTATTATTGACAGTTTTCTTTTATACCTATATATAAGGAAAGAAAATATTATTATTTAACCCTCTTTAAATATTAAAAACATATTTTTTTTAAACCTTCAAAAAGCCCTAAAACTATGCTTTTAAATTTAAAACATCGTATTACCGTTATGGCTTTTTGAGATTGAGTAAACTGTTAGTTGAATAAACAAAGACATTAAAATAAGCTCGAAGTTTTATAAGGGCAATGTGAAAGCAATACGAATAATAAACTGAAAATTTATTTATTTTCCTCGTTCGGTAAAATTCTTTCTTAAATATCCATAAACTATATAAACATTTAAACAACAAGGGGAACTTAATTCCGGCGTTTGTTATTTATAGTTTTAATGATAAACTGGTGAATTTAGTCTGCTAAATTCCTTTGGCCACGAACCCATGTTTACATACAATTTAATTGTGTTAACAGTAACGTGCTTTACAACATGTAACATATAGTAAGGAAATGTGTGATTGTTCTTTAAATCTGAATTTAATAAGAACACTTACTTATAACAACAATAAATTAGAATCCTTATGTTCATATGATTTTTTTTGTATTAGGAAAATATAGTTTATTACTACCCAAATATAATAAAGCACATTTTGTATAATTTCATACTGCACCACTTTTCTTTCATCTTTATGATGTAAAATATTATCAGTTAATGGTTGAGTAATCCACCACAAATAGAACACAGGCACATATCTACAGCTCACTGGCTTAGATCAAATCTGCTTACAATGAACGGGTTGAATTGCGGCGTAATGACGTGAAAAACTAAATATTTTTTTATCCTAATATAATAAATCTTCAATTGTTTTACAGAATGTGACTTTCACATTCTTAATAATAGTCAATCCGTTTCTAATATAGCTATATTTTTTTACACTAGTTTGTGCATAGAATATTGAAAAAGATGTTTTTAAATCATTCTTCTATATCTTAAGGTTTTTTTTTAATTTAAACTAAATTTTTATTTTTATTTTCTTTGTGTGGTACGTGACTAAAAACAGTTCAAGTTTTTTTTTTTTCAATATGTATACATACATTTTAATAAAAATTTAATATTTTAATAGGCTCCCAACTAATTTATACGTACAATCTCCCTTTGCCCTTAAAAAATCTATTAAAATATTATGGTCACTGAAAAAACACAACGCTCGGCACAAGGGGAACAAACTTTCGTTGGTATTGTTAGTTTATTTGTTAACA